ATGCACTGAGTTGCCGCCATGTGATTGGCTGCTTAGAAATTAAGTGTTAACGAGCAGTTGGACAGGTGTACCTAATAAAGTGGCCGGTGAGTGTATGTTGACTGTTTTGGTCATAATGTTCAGATTTAACTTAAACCGTAAATATTCTATCCAAAAACTTCCGCCTATTCTATATTCTGTTTCTAAATAAATATTTCATCATGATGAAGGAAATTCTAATCTTATCTTTCTTTTTCAGGTTGATGGAGAAAAAGAGAAGAGAGAAACTAAGGCAGCATTTTGCAGCGAAACGCAGCTAAACACGCCGTCCACCACAGAGCGCTAACCGTCTAACATAGTGCCTGGCACGCTATGAAGCAGCTGCCTCTACAGAAGCGACATGCAATCTGAAACTGGAAAAAAGGAGGACAAATGACAGCACTTATATAGATTAGAAACAGACATCTCATGGAATAAAGACATAAAATGAAGCTATAAAACAGTCAGGATTTAAGCTGGAACAGATAAAGAGTAAAATGTGGGGGCTACTTCTGGGCATTTCACTAAAGAGGTTTTACAAGAAGGTAATATATTGATAGTATATTTTCAACTGCTGTGTAAAATTTAAAATTTTTCAACACAATTTTAGTCAAAGTTTGACTCACGGTGAAGCTTTTGTTGCAAAAAAGTACTTCAAAATTCAGTAAAAAAATTAAGCATATTACATCTGATCTTACCGCGTTTTAGTTTAAGATTAATAACAGGATAAAAGGGAGAAGAAATCTCAGGTTTAACAAAATGTTAATAAAAATGTTGATATCTGGATATACAAGGGAAGGTGTGGGCACGCGTGGCAAAGGAAAGATCCTGTATGTGCCTTTTGCTGTCAAACTTTGTAAAGTTGTCTAAAAAGATGTTTTTCTTAACTAGAACTGGAAGGTTTTTTTTCTTTGTGAGAAAAAAACAAAAAAACTGGAGAAGGAATGCACTCTTTTGGCTCAGACCACTAATCATGAAGTAATTTAAAGACTGAAGTTTCTTAATTGAGTCTTTTTTGGGGGGCAATAACATGAACTAGACCGTAATAAGAGCACAATATGTCGAACAAATTCCCACCAAAACACACAAGAAGGTCTTTTCCCAATAATTATAAGGGCTCAATATTAATCCACTCTACCTTCAGAGACAGTGCGCCCCATGGATGTCAACCATTACACTCAAATCAAATAAGGGCTATGACAGAAAGCTAGTAGTTTTTTTTTTAACACATCAGATAAAACCTGTTGGTATTAGACTCCATCATCTTTTAAACAACACATAGGAATGTCCTGGATTTGCAAAAAGATTGTTTGATTACTGCATGGCTTCTTGCCTTACAGACTTTACCTTCGTCTAACCAATCAGCATGTACATAACTTCTTTTACATAAAAGAACATATTACTGGAAGGATGCTCTCTGTAATTTTATGATGAAATTAATATTGTGTACCTGGAGCTCCCTTTAAAGAAATGTTTTCATAGATACAAACCTTTTTTTTTCTCCCTGAAGTATTTAGTACTGTGCAGGGACTACTATGCAAACGTCATCTTCTCGACCTACAGCCTTTGTGTATTATGAAAACTGTCAGCATTTGTGTTTTCTCTCTCTGTACCCATGCTTACTGTCCAGTATTAATACTCTATATTACTAGTGCAAGTTCCCAGTTAATAAAACTGTTTCTGTATACTCCTAGACTATGTTTGTCTCTGTCATAGAAAGTAGCTGAATCAGAAATTCAGCTGGAATATCAACTGATATTTTCACTCATCCAGTGAGTAAGCAAAAATCACTCTGTTTTTAACTATAAGCTTTATCAAAAAGGAAAGTTTTTCGCCTTGCTTTAATAGTAGACAGGGTGTCTGCCTCATGGACTGAAACTAGTAGTTGTTTCCACAGTAGAGGGGTCTGAGAACTCCTGATGGGTCTTGAAAAGCTTAACATAATGAGGATCACAGCTTAGTAAAGACTCAGAGGATGTAGTAAATCTGAAATTTTAACCAGTTTTACAAAAAGTACAAACAAATCTAGAAATGTGGGATAAAATACAACTTACTCTATGGTAGAGGTTTAACCAGAAATTTTTTATAAGGGTGGCCAGGCAATAACCAATGTACACTGAGGGGTGGCTGAAAGCGGATAGGCACCAGAACCTCAGGGTCAATCTACACTGTTTCAACATGAAAATTAACTGGCAAAACATCCATATTTTTTATATAAAGACAAACTTTCCTACAGCCTTTGCAAACAAATAGACATATTTATTTTATCAGTGCTTTCTAAATAAAAGGTATAGTGGATAAAATTCTTTCAGTTTTTAGTCTTGGACGTAAATCTTTTCCATTGTCATTACTTACCTACTTCTATCAAAACATTCTGCTTAAAATTAATATTTACAAGCACTAATACATAAATTGATTATTTGATACGTTTTTATTAAAATTTTTATTTATCTTTGATTACACTGAAGACTCCTAGATGACTTGCAAGAGACATTATTCTCTCTTTACCCCATAAAACACAAAATCTAGTTCTGAAAAGAGCATAAGTTCTGTAATTATCATCTTTGATGTTAGTATATTGATGTGAATAATTATCCACAAAAAAATAAAATGTTTTGAATATTCCACTTGAGAGTATTACTGCTGCCACCGTCTGGATCAGAGGGGGATAAAATGGTAGGGTTGGCCACAGGGGTGGCCAATGATTGGCTAAGGGTGGCAATGGCCACCCCTGGCCGCCCATCTAGCTCCGCCCCTGCTCTCTGGGGGGAAATTAACATAGTTAAAAAGATTTTGGGACAGAAATGTATCATTTATTGACAATTAAAATGCCACCTAAATTATTTTAAGGTATGATGGTTTGATCAAGCAATATTTATGGGAAAAAGAAAGTCCACAAAAAAAAAATGTGTAAACTATGGGGAAACTGGGGGAAAAGGAGGACTTCATTTGACAGACCATACATAGACTGTTAAGATTCGCATTTCAAATGGTGAAACAGGCAAAATATTGGCGATAAACAGATAATAGACCAGGTTGGACAAATATTGAGACTGGTCTATACTCACCATTCAGTTGTAGAGAGAAACTGTCTCAAAAGGAGAGCTTGACAATCCTAGGTCTTAGGCACTCCATGGATGTTTGAAATTAAGTATCAGATTTACTGAGGGCCTCATAACTTGTAGAAATACCTCTCCTTGTGACTAAACCCGTCTATTTGCATTGGGGACTAAAAAAAATATTAAAAACAGTGGAAATTAGGCAGTATTTTTTATAATAGGAGATTTATTCAAAGATGGAGTATTTAAAACATTTGAAGAATCAATATAAGTTGGAAGGAAAACATATTTCGGGAAATATGATTCAGGAACGGCGTTAAAACCAAAAATCAAACTACTGTACAAGAACCCGTTCTTACAGTACATGATCTACAATTACCCCAAGAGCAAATAACAGCTTCCAGGTTTTATGGTTGTGGCAAATAATTAGGGACTAAATATAAGAGCGGAGCAGTGGATAAGGATCTTGGCAGCTTATGGAAGATACATTAGAGAGGCAAAGGTGGAAGCTCACACAATCTAGAATAATACAGAGATAATATCTCAGCAAGACCACATGAAATTAAATGTATTAAATATAGTCAAATTATTTTATAGGATTGTTTTATAAGATGTCCACTAAGACCAATTTAATCTCCTCCTTATGAATTCTCAGTTAAGTGTCGTCTTTTTAATCCAGAATGTCCAAATTAAACTCCTTGTTCATTTCTACATTTATCATTTCTTTAACTTTCTGCTGAATTTTATAAAATAATTTTCGATTGTTCTTGTCTTCCCACGGCTTATTGAAAATTTCTCTTAATATCCTAATACATATTTATATGTGTGATTAATAGGGGACATTTACTTCCCCTTAATCTTTGCTGTACATCATACATGCAGTGCAAAATATATGAACAATGTCACGACCTTTGTCTGTATTTTATTTCACAGAAAATAAGAAAGAACAACATAATGTGGGAGCTTTGCACTTATTTTACAATGTTCAGGAAATTACCTAAGAACAGAAATAAATAATTTTACTGGGTAAACTGAGTTTTGAATTTGTTCTTGTTAAAAGTTGCTGTGTCAAACTTTCAAACCTATGAAGGACCAGAATATCTTCTAATCAAGTGGAATAAAAGTTTGCACATTCATTTTAATACAATCAATATACACATTTCAAACATTTGACCCATGTGTTTATCTAACCTCATAAATTTGGGGGGTAATTTATTTAATCCTAATTTAATGTAGATTACCTTTACGGTCAAATTCAAATATATAATCAGATTACATGTTAGTCGTCATCTTCTTCTGACTCCTCTGACTCTTCCAGGACAGCTTCTTCCAAGATGTCTTTCAAATCTTGCTCTTCCCATCCAATATATATGTTTTTAAACTTCCTATACAGTCGGTGAAAATTACATGTCTGTTAGTTGCAGTGCAAGCATTAGGATACATTTAGAAAAAGCAAAGATGCCATTAACCCTTGCACTTACCTTCCACACGTGTAAGCAAATTCACCCAGTCAGAGGTTAGAACGCAGCATAGCTATTGCATACTCGGGTATGGGGTGCCACCAGGGACATAAATCAAAATTAACGTTCATATACACATATTAAATAAAATTCTTCCATATAATATACTGAAAAATGTGCCTAAACACTAGAGAAAAGCTCTCACATAAACTGGTAAAAACACTTACCTCTTAAATAACCTACTCAAAATGGCACCCCATACTGAGGAGTTAGAAGGGAGGAAAACTTGGAGCTCCATGGAGGCATATTAAACGTTTCTGGAATATACACATAAACATGATTTCTCTTGATTCTAGATTGCACCATTTTGATTGGCTGCTGGTCTATCTCTGTGTGTGCTGGTGCCTTTTTTAGACTTGGTTATTATGTTGTAAAACAAACTCAACATGCATGTAACAATGATGACCATGCAGCCATGGAAAAATATATGAAACCATCATAATCATATTCATGTTGTTGTCTGAACCATACATTTAAAGACAATGAACTACCCATAAAATGCAAATATGGGAGCTTGATTTCTAGATGAAATGTGAATCTGCTTTCATTGGAAAAGAGGAATTAAAAATGAAAAGGATTACTGGAGGCTGGTGAAGATTGTCAGTCATCCAGGTCATAGTCATTCCAAAACAAGAAAATTAAAAACAGTCCACTGGACTTTGTTTCCAAATTTGAAGACGTTTTGCTTCCAATCCAGGAAGCTTTTTCAATAAAAAATGTCAGGAATAGTGTTGAGTTCAAGATTATTGGAGGAAAATACAATAACTTCTAGACTAGCTTATCTACAAATCTGAGGGCATATCAATATAACAAAGGTTCCATTCTTTAACTTTATGTATGTCAGCTAGGTGCCCTGCTTTGAGATGTGTATTCTCATTATGGGTGTTAGGTTGGGACCACACTCTCCATTGACTGTTAGCGCTCTGCGTTATTCATCTTAGGTTTGGTTTGGAAGCTTTTTGGTTGGTGGGCTAGGTGATCTGTTGATCTGGTTGCGGTTGGCTCTTAGGTCTCTGTGCCCGACCCAAGCTTTGGACTCTGTGAAATACACAGAGCTGCTACCATTGCTTTTGAGTGTGTGTTGGAGCTTTCCGTTTCTCAGTATCTGGATCTACCTTTAACTGTTCAGTTGAAGGAAGCCATTGATGGTTCTGGGTGTCGGGGCAACACACAGGTTAAGGACTGCTCTCTGGCAAAACAGTTGGCTTTACCTGAATTTCTATATAAGATCATGTGAGGGTTGATTTAAACATGTGTGATTTGAACATGTGTACCTGTTTTTGCCACAATGGGTCTTAGGCCCATTGATATTAGGCCTATCAGGTCATCAAACAGCCTGGCCAGTGGCTGCCAATTTAACCCTATGGTCCATTGGTGGTTCTTGGGGCTACAGTATGTGCTCGCCAGTTATGCGTTTGCTCATTTTTTTTTGTCTCTCCAGGAGCTCATGTGCTCTGGAGGCCCATTTGGATGTCTTTGGCTTTGATTTCCAGATAGTTTCAATTAAATATTCCCAGAGTAGCTATCTTTAATGCTAAAAGCAAAACATTGTGATGGCAGTTTCCCCCAACAGAAATAACCTTATAGCTTGTAGAAGCTTGAATGGGGCCATTACCCTGCTGCAGCTTTACAATGTTAAATTTCTCCATTGTTTGAATCTAATGTATCAGAGCATAAGTGCTGCACAATATGGGTACATGAACTTTCGGCTCCAGTACTCAAAGTTTATTGGATTAATGATGTCTGATGTTATATCTGTTTATATAGAACAAAATTAATCCTCTCTAAGGTCAAGTCAAAAAAAGACTTAAGGGCTTTTAGAACTAACTTAATGGAACAGTTCCATTAATCTTTAGCTGGAAATATGCATCAGACATGTTTCAATCAATTCCTTTATTGCTCCATAATGATATACGACAATGTTCAAGATATTTACTAAAACTAGCTACTTATTTCTTTCAAACCATTTATTTAACTGAAGCTAAACAAAAATTTGATTTGTTTTGCAACTGCTGATCTGCTGAAAAGATAATGATGGCGTGAAGCTATGATAAAACATCATTCCATAGAAAGCCTTAAGACCAATTGTATTTTAAAATTTCTCTGTATATCAGTCCAT